CGAGAAATTCATCGTGTTGCTTTGTTGCTTCGACAGAGTATTCTTCGATCTAAATAGGTGTAATCAAAGTTATACAAGGGAATGAAGGAAAAAGATTCCATGGAGATTCAAAACTTGTTAATATATTACACGCTGGCTTTTTTGTGAATTGGAAGAAATTGAGATTTCAAGTAACTGCATGTTTTATGATAACAGTGAAAAACACAAGAGGGCAACAAATATTGAAATAATTTTTACCTTGTCCAATTTCGCTTTTTCAGTTACGATGGGTCCTAGAAACGCGTCCAAACCTTTCCCGAGCAGCCTCCGTGCTGATCCAAGAGTGTTGCAAGCCGCATCACGAACAGAGGGGTCACTATCGGAAGCTAGCTAAACATAATTTAATTCGATTCCATATAGGTTTTAGGATGCCATGAAGACAAAAGTTCATTGCAAACCTTCACAACTATTGGTAGAACAGCTTTGGCAAATTCTATCTGTACAGTAGTCTGCCGAACGAAATAGCGAGTCAAAAAGGCACAAAGACATTGTTTAGACTGAGGGTTGGGCTTTGACAAGTGTTCACAGAGATCTTTGGTGAGACGTTCCGTAGAACACTAAAAGTAAGACATAATGTGGTGTGCATGTACAACGACTGCGGAAAATTCCCTGTCCCTACCACATCCGAAATAGCATCGAGGGTCTCTCCAACAGCTATACGAACGGTGTTCTTCTTATCCTTAGACTTATCAAGAACAACTGACCAGATCTGTAACAATCCTGATCACCAATACCGGCAGCAACCAAAAGTATAGGGTGGCCCGAAGTTGCATTTCCACATTTCAACAACGATACGGCGGTACTCCAAAAATGACGATCAAAGAATGACATACCATTGAAATGAAACAACTGAAACGGTCTCGGAGTCCGTTGGCTAATTTGGTCACTACCCGTAAAGCAGCAATAACAACATTGATGTTGCTATCGTGGGCGATAATCTGAAAACCTGAGCTTCAGCTCCATTTCCACCAAAAAGAAAATGTGTCGATGGCGAACCTTCTTTAGGTTGTCCATCAACTCCCCATAAATTGTCATTGATGCTGTCGATAATCGAGGATTTTTCTCGATAAGATTCGATAATACCTGAAAAAGGGTTGCGGTTTTGAAGCATTGAAATATCAATTTTGGTTCATTCACTGTGTCTCTGTCGTCCCACTAATAAGGAACTGGTCAGTTACCATATTAAATGCAATGTCGTAGCAAATTCTCGAGAACCTTGCTGGGAACACTTTTTCATATTCGTTTGTCCGTATTATTGCCACGAACTTCACTGAGGCCATGATTACTCGGAGAAAAACTGTAAAAAATTTACCCAACCTCCAATGCTTCCTTTCGCTCCTGCCATTTCGCCGACTCCACGTTCTTTTTGTGTTCATTAGGCCAAAGAGCAATCACGTCCACTTCGTCTAACAGATCCCATTCATCCATTGGGAGGCTAAATAAACAACATTCCATACGTAGAGAAACTCAGTCATGCGATTAAATAGTCAAGAAACATCACGGGCAATGCTATGAAAGATACATGGCAGAAAAAAGACATGGAACATGAGTGCAGTTATTGACCATTCCACATCTATTCGTCGGATCCAGGACTAACATGGATGACTCATACAGCTGACAAAAAAATGGAAAAAGCTCAAACGAATTTGCGAAAGCCAGTAAATGAAAAGAACACTTCCGAGGTGTTAGATAACATTACTTTCTTCTTTTTTACATATTTCTTCTCATTTTCCGAATTCAGAAAATAACAATTCCAGCTGGGTTACCGCGGGTGAAACCACAATTGCCTATAGGGACTTAGCAATGACTCCAAAGCGCACTCTGAAGTATCCCTGATTGAAAGGCTCAAACTTCAATCGACAGTTTTCCGAGACTACCAGTCCATTAAGGAAGAATGCACTATCCTGCCCCTTGAAATAAACACTACGAAGTGACCCCACAGTAGACCGAAACAACCTTGAAGGCAGGATTGAACACACACACACAAACTAGAAACACATCTCACAGATGATCTTACTGAGGAAGATCCGAAGATACCTCAAATGAATAGAGGCAAATGAGGTTGTTAAACGGCATGTTTGCTCAGCAGCGGGCAAAAATAATGCAGATGCTGCGTAATCATGAGCAAAGACAAACGCACAATCAGTACGCAGTGATGATGATGACAGCATGAGGCATACATAAAAGATTTTCTTATTAGACCTCCTACTTTCTTACTACCTTAAGTAGATTGTGAACGACCAATTAGTTGGGAAATACCTCCTAGAATAGATAACCACAGCGCACTGCAATAAAGGATGGCGAAATCGTTGCAAAAAAATGCGCGCAGATTGAGGGAAAATGGATTCCTCGGCTAAGAATCTTGCCTAGCAACCCGAATTTGTGATTCATCTATTCAAGAGTTGGGAAATGAAAAAAACAGATGTTCCGTCCGTATACTAGCATGGTATGAACAGCGAATGTCATGTACAAATAGAGCCCCCGTTGAATACTTTCATAGTACTAAGCGCCGTAAAGGACCTTCGATTAAAAGCATTTATATGAAAAGAAACCAATTCCACTGTGAAGTACCTTTTTCAGTAGTTAATAGTAATCTGAGATTGAGCGATTATGGTGTTGATAGGAAAGGGAAGATGTCAGTAAGCATGTTACGTCCGAGCAAAACAGACATCTCAAAGATCACATATAAGCAGTACGACGCGCAAAGCCATTTATTGAATAAAAAAAGAACAATAAAATCAACAACATCGACTGGTGTCATCGTAAAGCTGACAGAATCAGCTTATTTTGCTGAATTGTATACTGTTAAAGATCATAGCATTGGGGAAAACCAGAGAGAATCAGACCATAAGAACAGGTAAACTGAGAAAAGCAAGAATAGCATCAATTGCTCAAAAATTGCATTGGTGTTCTACATCGGTGCCAATGAAGATCACTGAGGCATTTCCTGTTGTGGACCGTCTCCTTGTTGTGCTTTCTTCGTCCCAGATACAATATCATCAATGCGAAGCAGCATGACCTATATCAAAAGAAGGGCTCATTTTAAATAAGAATGTTCCTTTCACTACTATATGGTGCTTTTATATGTACAGCTTTAGCGAATGAATCTAAGTGGAAACCTCACTATCACATGTACGTTCCCATCAAATTCAAGGAGCTGAACTAATCTCGACGACGCCCACTCCCTATATCCCAACTGCACGCCTAGATGAGTAACATCGTCAAATTTTTGAAATTACATTTAGTTCACTTGTGATCATACGAACGCCTTCAGACCAGCATTAAATCAATTAGAAACGATGATATACCAACGTGATGCACCATGTAAAATAATCACGAGAAAGTTTTTCAAAAAAGTCGCGGTGTCACTAGCATCAAATCAGAGTCAATAATGATGAAAGCATAGTCGTTTTTTACCCAAAAGTTTCTTTCAAGAATACTACTGATACAATGTGAGTAAACAGATACACTATGCACGCTGTGTATTATGCATGAGAAACGAGCCGCGATAACATCAGAGCAGATGTGCGGCTTGAAGGGATGAGCGTTAGTTGCGCAATAAGGGGAAGGAGCAGTGGAATGGTAGCTCCACGCATTCCTTGCTACCCTGGCTGAATCAGCGATACGAAATGGTTAGGACATTTGACCATGACCTCAAAATTTTAAGCGTGACAACCACGACACCTCAAAAACTATGCTCTCATCTTGCACGAAGTCAACTGCAAAAAAGGGGTCTGAAATGCACCTGCAATCGCAAGAAAAATCACCAGCTATCAAAAAACCTGCGAAATGAAACACTTTAAACTGCGGAGATGCAAAATAAGCAGTATTGAGATAAAAAATTACCGATGTCTCCACAGCAGTTTTTAACACTTGCACACGTACACTGAGTGGATCCCAGATATCCAATTTGCACATGTCGACCTTAACCGAAGAATTTCACCTCATCTGGTCTTGGATTGTGACACAAGCCGATAAAACAGCAAGTTAGGATAAACGGAGAAGGAAAAGAGCCCAGCCTTTGCCTACCAGTTCGCCTGTTGTTCCATTTATTCCCCACGTCCAATTCTCAGCATTCTGGGCATGCTTAGCGCGAAGGGCAGTGAGCTGACGGATTGTATTTCCAGCACAATTTTGAATCAGAGTGCGAGGAATTACCTGTAATTAGGTGTAATTAAAACGTAACGCTTTTTTCGGAGTCTTAAATAAGATTGATGGAACATAAGGGCCCTCAAGGTCCCCAGGTGACAAATCTATGGATGATAAATCTATCTGCAATATGGTCAAAGACAAAAAGAAACATCGCAATCTAAGAACATAGGGCTACTGTAGATGTGGCCTTAAAACCTGGCCTTCTCTAAAAATTACCTCTAGAGCTCTAGCGACCGCCTTATAGGGCCACTGCCGCACACCCTCCATTGTCTTCCCTTTTTCAGTGATGGCCTGGAACACTTAATAGAACTTGATATCATCACATTAGCCCTAGAAAAGGGATTATTCCTTGAGATTTTTCGCACCTGAGCAAGAGCCATCTCCAAAGCACCACCACCAGGAACAAGACGAGGATTCAACATTACGTTCCTAACGACATGTAAGGAATCTTGGAGATTACGTTCTACCTGAAAAAANAAAAAAGTAATAAACAGTATGAGTGCACGAGCTAGACTTCAAATTCAGCGGAACTTCTCGAAAACAGCACGTTACGATATTCAAAAGAAAAAACCAAAACCTCGTTTATGACGTCTTTCGATGGACCGCGAAGGCAGATTGTACAAGCTGTGGTTTTCTCCGACGTAACATAAGTGTAGTATCTGGAATAAGAGACACAATTCAAAAACTCAAAACTAATAATTCAAAAACCGTTAGCAGGAAGCAAGCCAAAGATAATATCGCCAACTTACTCGTCGCCAATTTTTGCAACCTCAAAAAGATCCGCCTGTGTACCCACATCGGATTCTCGCAGATCTGTTGTATCGTTGACAATTCGTGCGCCGCAGACTCTAAACAATGTATCGAAATACAACGCATCCAATCACGTTGAAACGAAGAAAAACGCTGTCAACCAGTTATACCATACCATCTATTCATCTTCTACGAAAGAGGGATCACAAAGAAGGGTAGTATTGTGAAAATGAAAAAGAATGCAGTTACTGTTTGTACTTGTGGAACTGTATCTACAGTATGTTGATTCAGTGATGCGTTAAAACTATCATAGAGATACTTGACAACGACGAAAATGAAATAAGTAATTGCAGTACCAAAACAAAAAGATTCTAAAAAACAATCCGCGAACCTTGCCAATCTGTTGTTGTCAGTTTTCTTCAGACGCCTAATCGCCGTAATACCAGCTTTAAGTAGGAAATGTTGAGCCAAATCAGAAACTCCCTTTTCAGTGAAAACTAGATCAGGTTTCACGCTAATGATTTCGTCACATTGCTTACGGATCGACTCTTCCTCCTACAAGTTTTTCGATGTCAGAGAAAGGAGAAATGTATGAAAGAGAGAGAAAAAGGTTACACCTACCTGCTCCAAAATCCTGCTGATATCTTCCTCCTTCATGATCTCTAGCGAAGTTTGAGATTCTCCCTTCTTATACTCCAAGTTGCAATCGAGCAAAACGATCCGAGGATGTTCGATACGACGACGCATTTTAGCATGAGTAACATCCTGAACGCAGTAAAAAAATAAAGACCAGAATGTGTAAGACTAGAAATGAAAGAAATAACTGTAATCACGCTTGCCTTGTTTAGCACGACTCCTTTGATCACCCTACTATCTTCGATGGTTCCACCAGGGATCTTTTCGATGCGACAGTACCTGGAGACAAATTGCCATAAGAAAGGAGGCAAGACAAACAACCATGAGCACGGCTGTTTTCTAAATGGCAGAGCGCGAGAAGAAATTTTTATTACGCATGTCTCTATAACGAACCTGGAATCTGAAAAAAGTAAAGATAGGAGCATAGGAAAGCCTCCTAACGAAAGCGCGGAAAAAAACCGCGAAGGTATAACGTAGCTCAAAATTTTATCACCTCTGCCATATTCTCATGCGATTCTTCGCAAAAAAAGGCCATAATAAGCAAAGAAAAACTGACCTTTTAATATCAATCTCACTTGCATTTCCTTTATCTACTCGGATAGTCTTAACAGCGTCCAACGATATCTGTACAGCGAGGTCCATCCACTTGCTTAACATCTTTGTTCCCAAACACGACTTGACCACAGAAACAATCTTGAACGTTCAAGAATTACGAGAACTTCAACGTCTCAACTGATTCAGTCATTGACAGGTAATTCACCTCTTTGTCATTATTGATATCAATCGGTTTGCTGAACTTCTCCTCAGCCAGCTTAATCATGTCTTCTAAGGCCGCTCGGTAAGCCTGAAAATAGAAAAGAAATCTGGAACGCGCATCAGCAGTGATACTGCAAAGTTATACAAGTATATCCTACCGAGTATCAACTTATGTTATTAATACGCCCATTACTAACACAGAAGACAATCTCCTAACCTGAATGATGATAGTTGGGTGTATGTTTTGCTCAAGAAACTGTTCAGCTTGGGCCATAACTTCACCGGCAAGGACTATCACCGATGTCGTTCCATCGCCTGTCTCCTCATCCTAGACGGACAACTACTAATTGCTCGTCACGAATTCTCTTCCAAAAACAAGAAAAGAAGTTCTCCGGAGTCACAACGCTTCTCAAAATGTTAGGGTTTTCATGAAAAAAATTTTAAGCACCACATGAGCTTCGTACCTGCGTTCTGGCTATTTCGATCATACTCTTGGCAGCAGGGTGCTTGACAGTGATTTCCCTGGAATAATATAGGCTCAACCAACTTCAAATGAATCCCATTTACTGCGAAGAGGGCAAATGTTACCTTAGAATAGCATTGCCATCATTAGTCATGACAATACCTCCCATAGGATCCATGAGCATTTTCAGCATCGCCCTAGGACCCAAGCTTGTGCGAATAACATCAGCAATGGTCTGAAATAAACAATGTAAAAGTAAATAAACAATAAGTTATGTCCACTGACGAACAACCTCGCAGCAATTACAGTAAAATAATACAATAAAGCTGTATTTCAAAAGCAACTAATTTAGCTCATGAACGCTCACCTTACATGCTGTAATGTTACCAATTTGAACTTGATGACCGCTCTCTCTTTTCGTGCCCTGGCTTAGCACAATTATCGGCTGTTGACCCGCACCGCGCATCATCTTTACCTGGAATGAAACTCAGGTGGATTACATTGAAATCTCTCTGTAAAATAACACGCCAATTGTTATGAAGCGTTATATGCACTGTCATATAACAAAGAACGAAGACGATGATTTTGTGAATCTTCTTGATCATTGATTTACTGCGGTATGAAAATCTCTCTATAAAAGACCAACTATCTACACTCAAACACGTCCATCTACAAATTCCACACCACGGACCCTCTGAAGATAAAGACATAGGGCATGTAGCTAACGATGAGCGATAATGCCTTAATTCCCGGGGATTCCCAATGACCACGGAAAGTTGTTTCGCTCTCCCGTTCACCTTTTATTACTTTCTCAACACTACAATACCATAAAGCTAGATCTAGAATTCGTTCAAATATTGGACCTTATTGGAGTTTTTTGAGCTATCATAAATTCAACTTATCAGCTATCTTTGTTCATTGATTCCTTCACAAACTTGAACGAGTTAGATTAGATGAAGTAAGTAACAAGTAGAAGAACACATAATACCTATACGCAGTATATGTGAAAGAGAATAAACATTTTTAGAACAAAGAAGATGAAAAAGAATGCACAGATCTAGCCTTAGAGCAAAGACGGTTCCTATCTGCATGCAGTGCCTTCGTTGTCAGGTCTGAAGTGTGAAAAGTTACCCACAAAGGTAGATTTCCTAGAGCTTCAAAAACGCTCGTTCGTTACCCCATAGTTCTGTTTCTGCAGGGAAAGTATTCGGAACAAGTGTTTCTCATGGTCTGACGAGAAGCGGTTAGTATGAACAATAAAGAGTTGAGTGACAGCTGATAAGAAGAATTCTGAATCTCTTTCGCTGACGATTCAAAGCTTTCTAGGACTCATTCAGTAGATGAATAATGTTTCAGTTTGTTCCTTCTGAGTGTTCCACAACACTGCAGTGTTATTTACTGAGCTCCATTGTTATTTAGTGTCGAGTGATCAACTGATCGAGATCTGATGATAATATTATACATTTGACACGACGTATCAGTAAGCGTTGATATCAAAACACAATTGCAAACTACGATAATTGCAAAATAGGTTTGATTGAGTTTTTTTAGAAAGAAAAGCCGGACAAAAAAAATAGCAACTGGATCTACTGCTGCTTTTGGAAATTATTAAGAGCAATCATAGCCAACGCCAACTGCACAGTACAAGTCAGAACTAAAAGCCAAATCAAATTCTCAACAAATTTCAGATTTTCGTGAAGAGCGGCAACTCCAAAACTGTGCTAATTAAAGAATTGCAGACTTCATACTCGAAGGTTCGTACACATTTAAAGGGTCAATGGTGTCGGTGAATGCAATCGCTCCAGGACCACACAACAAAGGGCGTTCACGACGCAGTTGTTCTTGGACGCTCCCTGAGGACATCTCGTGATGCTAGTTTTCTTGAGGGGACGCTTTTGAAAGTTGTGGAAAGTGGTGTTTACATTTGTGTTGACTTCGATTTCTGTTTATCAGTGGGCTGTATTTGGTTTTGTTGTTGAAGGCGAGTGATATCAGCTCGGTTACACTGTTCTCTTGCTCTTCCCGTATCGATTATATTACATCCGTAACATTATCGATGCTTTGGGCCCTTGCAAGAGAAAAATCGTTATTTTCATGTATCCAGTCTTGCCAGTTGTTAGTTACAGCTCATAGAACAACGAAATTATAAGGTTTCGGGTGGCGGTTTATACTGTTCACCTTGTCGTACTTGCCCCAGTAAAACTTTCGCGAAATTCTACAAAAAATCGTTTTAGCTCCGAACTTATCAGGCTGAAAGGTCATTTGGGACATCATGGCAGAAACTTCGGGATTTAGTTATGTTTCGTAAGGGTTTTGTTAGATGGTTAATGTGGTCGTTTTCTTTAAAAGTGCAGTTAAAGAAGTCTGTGTACTATTTTTTTCGTTGGGACGATTTTCTTATCTTCTTTTTCCGAATCAAGCCCTTATTTGACAGTAATGTACTGAACCGTCACTAAAAATTATATGTCCAATCGATAAAAGTAAAGGTGAAGGTGACATGCCATATCGACACCGCCCTCTCTGCCGTTTCTCCATTGTTGTGGTCTCGCTCACCCGCCTTTTTGCAGTTTTTACTTCTTGTTACAATAAGTATATAACTTCATAGCTTCTCTTCCTTCTGAAAACATTGAATATCTTCACTTGGTAACGCTACAATGTTCATGTTATAGGTTTGCTAAATCATAGCATCTCACAAAATAGAAAGGAATGTATCCTTACGCAGGTAAGCATCCATTTACCCAATTGCACCTCATCCTAAAAGTTATTATCGATTCAGATCGTTATGGCAGCTACAGAGACTACTCGTCATTTCCAGATCGAGTTCGTTTGCATGCTATTCATTTTGTTTGTTTACTTATGATAACATGATGATAAGGGTTTAGGTAACCTCCAAGGAAGAAGTTATAGAGAACTCAAAATTATGAGTGCGTTAACTACCGCTCTGTTTAGGTAGTGATTATGGAGATAGTCACAGATCTTCCCATCGGTTACTCGCAGACAAATTAGATTCTTATCGGCTTTCTCTTTTCGGTCTGCGGGGAAGATATTGCGAGGTCGCTGCATGGAGTGTGGTATTAGCTTTATTGGTTATCCACGAGGTGGAAATACTTTGAGAGGGTGGCGCGAAGTCTAGTACGTGTTGACTTGATGTTTTGTTAACTGCTGTTATATTGCCGTAGTACATGCGAAAGATGAAGAGCACGGTGCCCGGAAAGCATAGGCACGGGTTCGAGTCCTGTCCAAGGCCGGAGTTTTGCCAACAAATCGCCATCCTTGTGCGTCTAGGACGTGTATTCCAACTAGACAATATACACGGTTTGTGATAATGAGCGGTTGATGTGTGTTGAAGTTTATACGAAAGCCGTTCCTGTGATAGAGCACAGATAAGAGTAGATATCTTGTGTCAATCACTCAATCCAATACACAGTAGCACGTAAAGATGCTTAGAGATAAGAAAGTGATTTATTAGCAATGACACATCCAGCATCCAACTACTATAGATAACGGAAATCATTCAACTAACGAAAGAGCGAAGCTGGCCAGACGGTTTACAGTGACGCAAGCACCTTTGGTCTCCATTTGGCATGAAGTACAGAGAGGTCAATGTCTGCCTTTGAGGCTCGATACATCAGTGTTCACTGATCTCTATTTGCACGGTCCGAATACGCCTGAAGTCATTACTGTCGAAGTGCGAATCTACGGAAGAAAGAAGGCTTATTGGGTCTGTCACACAGGTAAAATGTCGGCAGGCGAAGTAAAGCATCACCAGGTTTCAGCTCGTTGGTGTATTTCTCAGAAAGGTATTCAGATGTGTTAGAGTGTTGTCGGTGTATGTTTTTCGAATTATTCGAGATGTAAGATTTATCTCGATATAATAGTAATTAGGCTTAAAGATAATCAGTGATGAACCCTCTAGCAACTGCTCCCCTCTAGCATTAGTCGCATGCCGTCGCAAGAACAGCTATTCTTGTCAGTCGTCTCCATTGCCTTCTATCTACAGCATATTCTGCAGCCTTCTTAGTTTCGAAGATCCTTCTTCATCACGTCCCGCCACTCTTACTCTCAATTTGGGCTTCTCTTGATCGCTTGCCTGGAATCGTGAACTATACTGTTCAGTAGTGATGAAATTTCCCGTGGGAGGCATCGCCGGTCTGAATGAAACACCTCTCAACGCTTTTCCGGTAGAGAATGCAGTCGAATGTAAAGTGCATAAGTTTGTTGCCCGGACTTCCTCACTTGCTGTGCGGAAGGCTTTCTGAGATGCACTGAAGCTTTTGGTCGGAAGCGAAAGCTGATGACTTATCCAAATACGAACGCTAAGAACTGAAGGTTATGCTCCGACTGCTACCGCTCGATCTCAGCAACTTCAGGCAGCCTATCCAAGAGGACTAAGACAAAATGCAGTTAATGCAATAAATTTTGTAGTTTGTATTGTATACAAACATTTCTTGGTTGTTAGCTGTTCATAAAATGAAATACTAGTCATCATTTATAGCTGGCCGGTGCTATTCTAGTCATTTATGAAGCCAGATTGAAAATTTGCACAAAAATGGAACGGGCATACAAATCTTGATTAAAATAATGTGCTGTCGCTTACCATTGAGCGAAATTGTCGTGTTAAATAGCATTGTAGAATTGGTCAAAAAATCAAGAATTTCGCTGGTAGCGCGGTGAGACCATAGAATTCTTCTATTCTACAAATCTATTTTTCAATGGATTGGAATTTACCTTCTATGCTTGTTAACTAGCACTACCCCCAATTCCGCTTTTTTAAAAGAAAATTCTTTCGTGAGATTCAAAGGGAAGTATCTTAAATTCTTTCGTGAGATTCAAAGGAAAGTATCTTTTGAAAGTAGTTAAGTTTTATGAGATTTTTTTGCATAGAGTAGACAAAAAATATCGAGTTTTACTGTTTTCAGCTAGGACGGGCACATTACGACGACATCGATATCGGAAGGAGGAGATTTTACGATGATGACATCGGTAGGCGAGGACCCTTTGATCGAGGTTTCGAAGATTACCGTATGCGATCAATAAGAATAGAGTATCCAGGATTTCCAGTACGAGGTGAATCTACTATTGCTTAGTTTGCTTTTGAGTATTCTGACGCCTTTGCATAGCCTCTTTGATCTGTACTTCCTTCCCGACCACGTTCCGTTTCCCCTTTTACCTGCGTTCTTTGCACAAGTAGTGACTCTGAGTGACCCCCTACGCCACAGCGTTTTACACATCAATTTTACTCTGAGCGTTGTGGGTTAGGTCGAAGGTTCCAATCGATATTAAGGCTGATAGTAGAGGTGCTTATCTCTACTTCACCGTGTATGTGAATCTTTCTCATAATTCACTGGTTTGTTTGCACCATCTCATGTTTGATTATCTGAGTCGAACGAATTGGACTAGAATGCCTTTGCTCGCGTCAAGTCTATTTCATGAAACGTTCTCGCTTTCCATGAAGCTCGAATGTCATCCTCTCCCTGCGCTCTCCTCAATTCAGCTATTTGTGTCAAATAGTATAGCAGAGAATCCATGTTTTTGGTTACTTACTCTTGTACTGAACAATTATTTCTTGGTAATGTTCAAATACTGTTATATTAAGAAGAAGACTGGCGTTCATCAAGTCTCGATCGTCATAGGGAGTTCATCAACGAGTACGTGTGCCTTGTTTATAGAGATCGTTGTTATTTTCTCATTTCATGTGGTTGCTGGCTACTTCCGCCAGTTAAAATTTCCTATTTTCAGTTCATGGAAGAACGAGCCTATACCACATTCGTGGGCAAGTGATGTTTGTTTGTTTTCAATAGTTTAAATTCTGTGAATGAAGTCTTAACAAAAATCACATATGCAGAGAACCCCGGTGAGTAGTAACTGGAGGTATGGAAGCAGTCGTTCTCCAAGAGCTTACGAGGATTGGAATGCAGAAAGGTTCAATGATTGTGCCCAATTTCTCAGCGTAGTGTAGAATAACGCAAGTATGCTGTTGTAGGACATGGCGTCGATCGCCATCTCCACGCAGACCAACAGTATCTCGTCACCGCTCTCCTTCTCAACACTCACAAGGTATCTGCGATCCTAACATTGTCTTAAATCTGACTGTAGAAACATTAGCTTGCGTTTTTTTATTGCTATCCATTCTTTTTTCTCAGAGAGAAGGCATACGCGCAAAGATCACTCGGTTAAAGAGAGACACTCTCGTGAAAAAAGCACGTTTTCGCGAGAATCTGATCCAGTGGTGAAGGGATCTATTGCAAATCTCAACGAGGATGAACTAGAAAAAGTTAGTTTTTGATAAATGATGTTTCAATAATAAGTTTTTGAAGCGAGATTTTTCGCTTTGATTGTTGGTCTTTACAGGCTGCGCGCCTTCAACTTCAATTGATGGCAGAAATGGAGAGTAAGGATAGCAAAGAGGATTCCAAAAACATGGAGAGTGAGGATAAAAAAGAGGATTCCAAAACCAAAGGAGATAACAGTGCCAAGAAAGACGGAGCTAAAAAAGAAGCGAAAGCTGTTGAATCTTCGGAGAAAGCTGAGAGCACAAAAGAGCCAAACGGCAACGTTGCCGCCCCAAGTCAACAGAAAATCAATCCGGTACGTTTTGGAAGTTAAGTTTTTTCCTTACTCAAAGCTTATTTGGTGTGTACTGCAATTCTGGGGGTGGGTGGTTACCTTATAATCAAGCTGTATTGGCTGTCGTTCATTACCTTCAATTTCATTTGCATATTGTCGGGTTCCTTTGGTATTGGCAATTAGATTGATGTTAGGCTAATGTGATATGTGAGGAATACACAGACAGAGTGGGCCAGGCGTAGAGCGGAACATTTCAAGTTAACCTTAATCAACGGAAGAAGGGTGCAATAAGACATCTGGGACGTTGCTGTGGTGTTGATGAGTGAATGATATATGTATATTGGGCTTGTTAGTTTGCTGCTTGATGAACCGAAATTGGTAGACCCGAGTCTTGTAAAGAAGGAGAGAAGATAGGAAGCGGGGTTGGGTGCACCAGGTTTTTCTTCTTTGCCTTTGATCATCAGTTTTCCAAGTCTGGTGGTTCATTATCACATTGTCCTTATTGAAAGCTTTGCTAGTTATGGCGCTTTGCATGATTGGAGGGTTACGGAGTCGAGGAGTTCATGCTGAATGGCTGCGTCTCCTCAATGGTGAAGAAAAAAGTTGAAGAAAGCCTGAGAATCCAAATAAATTTTGAACCTCCCCTTTTCGCTGGTGGTTAGGGACATCGCAGCGAATAAAAGTTCTATAACTTTATCCTCTGCTCAACATGTAGAAGGGGGAGGGTCCTACCACTGTAACACGGTTCATCCAGTGCCGACGTCTCTGCAAATTCGTTTGAAACTCAGCGACGGGCGTTCTCAAGGCAAAGAGGGATTCAGGCAAGATATTGAGCACACATCGCTTTCTTTCCGAACTATTTCGACCCGGAACGCTACGTATTACTTGCTATAGCGCGAACGTTTTTCATACTGCTGAAGTAAGTAATTTACGACCCAATTTTCTCTTTTCGTATGCTTATTTTGGTAATTTTCATTTGATAGTATACATGTGGTCTTTCTGTATTCCACTTTTGAGTTATAAGACTGAATATTATAACCTTCAAGTTTATTATCACGTTGGACTGCAAACAAGTTGCAGTTTCCTTCTAGTACACCAACGACAGAGCACAATTTACGACACATGAATATTAGTTTACAAGCCTCACAGAATTACCTCACAACCGTTTTATTCGACCTTGACGGGCATAACCTAATATTCCTTCTCTTCAGCTTTCAAGCTTCTATAGGGGCTGATTTTGCTGTACTTAAACAGTGAACCTGCCTTTAAAAAGTCCAATTGCTTACCTACGTTCAGTTTCTGGTGAGCTCAGAAACGAGTTGGTCAAGAGATGAACATGGCCTATCAAATGGATAATTGCAGCCATGAGCATCCGAATCTTCTTCTTCACTTATGAAGATGAAGGGTGACCGTTTGGTCCACATTCTGGTCCTCAGCCCTTGATGGTCTGCGAGGACGTTGCCGTATCTCAGAAGTGGATTCAACCTATCAAGATTCTTCGAACCATTAGTGTTCGTTCACCTACTACACTGCTTCCATAACATCCAAAATTGTTTTGTAGATTTACCTGCATTCTTGTCCTTGCGATACAAAAATTACAGATGTCAAAAATAATTGTCACTTACCTATTTCAAGATCAGCCCCAAACAAACACAATTTAACAAGTTTGACATCGAGTTAAAAGTAACAACAAAACGAAACGTTCACAAAACGTAAAGTCTGAAGTGCATTATACTCATAAAAGGGATCCCTTGAAATGCAATACAGCGACCGACAAGTAACTAATAGATACTCGAGAAGTTGCAATTCCTTGTGGTTCTGGTGAGTAAAAATTAATTATACTCTGACTCGCTACTTCATCAAATGTGGATGAGGGTGAACCGTAAATGTGCAGAATAAGAATCATGGCACAATATGCCGTCTAAATTTATACTGAAGTACAATCAGTGATATGGGACTATTCGCCAACTCCATTGGTGACTGGAGTAAAACAATGAAGCCGGCCTGGACCCTATGTATCCCGAGTAGTTCCGCTCCGTGTAGTGGATGGTCAGCGACAGGGAACAGAGTTAGGTTTATTTATTCGGAGTAAGATTGATATAGACTGAATGAGGTGGTTTTCATCTATTCAATAACTTTTATTTAAGTTGTTTCTCCTTTGAGCTAAACATCTATGTTTTGCCCTACAGCGCTCTTTGAGTATCGCTTTCGAAACTATGCACACTAATAATACGGATGAAATCACCAAGTTAATCTCATTAGCAACAGAAATCGCTCAGTCGAGCTTTCATTAAGATTTTACAACTACAGTTGCTCTGATGCTTGAGTCGAATAACGGTCCGTTTTAGCCTGAAACGGACTCTCATTCGAGGGCGGTGCAACCAAAAGAGAGCGACAACAAACTGCCAAGCCATGACGGAAAACCCTCTAAAACGGGTCATAGGGAAATAATTGTTCTGAAAAAGAAGTTTGAGGATATTCATAAGCTTCCGACAACTAAGCCCATTGGGGCAAGCTGGATCGAGGAATACAAGAAGACTGTCAATAAAAGAAAACAGGAGATATCTTCTGGGTCAGTTTGATTCTCACTTCTTCGGCATTAAATAGAACTCCTTATTGGGAGGTCGATGTTGTTAACATACTTTTGAATAGGCAAAATATGAAGGATTTTTATAAGCTTGTCCCAAAATCAGTTCGAAGCAGTTCTTTTCTAAGAACAGTAAAAAGTATTGAAGTCGTTTGGCATAATCAGTCCTTTTTAGGATGCGTACCCTCATTCGGCTAGCATTCAGTATCGTAGTAGCGTTTAAATGGGCATACGATCTATACAAGATTTGACTGTTTACAAATCAGCACTATTATCGTCCCAGACGAGCATCTAACGCCGTCGGAGAAATGTTGACTTGGGCGGGTATCGATCCGGGATTCAGCCATATGTTTTATAGTTCGCGCCATTCGCCCTAACTCCACTACCGTCCTTCTGGTTGAACATAGTGAACATTAAGGCGAACTCTTCCAGCAAGGATCGGCAAAAAACGCCGTTCCTATAAACTCAAGGGTGCGGACTGGTAGACTAGTAGAGTCGCGCTCTGTATTAATTGACTTTAAAAGCATGGTAACTATAGTACAGAAAATCGTTTACATAATTTGACTGTTGAATATTGGCTTTCGGGATAGTTTGTTGGCTAAAGAACTGGTGGAAACCAGGCGACATATTTGAATTGATTTTGGGACATCTTTTAATTTCGATGATGAATCATTACGGAGTAATCTGGACGTGCATTTTTCCAATACTACATTATTTCATTCCTTTTTTCTGAATAAAGGGGTGGGGACAAAGCCCCAGACAATGATATACCTCATTACAAAAACCTGTATGAATTGTTTCTAGCCTCGCCATCGTTTCAGAAAAGCGAGAGTGCAGGTCGTGCACAAATTGTGGGAACGAAGAGTAACCGCATCTCCTATCATGTGCAGCTCCACCGTACTCAAATTAACGACATATTTCAAAAGGACAAGGTCTTTGGGCTTGATCAATCCCTTCTGAGGCATGCACCCCCTCATTCGACTTCCATTCAGAATCGTACGGCGTTTTGAGTGCGAGTATGACCTATGCAATGACTTGCGGCGGCCAGCCGATGAACAAGACAGCGCTTTTATCCTCTCAGACGAGTCTTGTACTAATTAGGTGACCCCAAAGGGGTGGAAGACTTGGTTGGCCTAGGCGGAAATAGAACCGGGTTATACAACCCGTGACCGATTGCGATGAGTGTGTGGCAGTGTGCCGCTCGCCACTACACCACTTCCGTCCAGCTCAGGGCTTTTTCACGAACAACCCTTTTTTCAAGTTGTTCTGGAGCAACCTTAACGAAGGATTTACATGCAATTACAAACACAGCAACCATTGAAGTAGCTATACTGCTATTTAATTGCTGTCTCGTTTGACTTTTACACCTACAAACTATCACTAGGTGTCCTTTTCGGGTGACGGGTACAGTAAGAGTTTTGGTTGATGTAGGTCCCAAGCAGAAGCTAGATGAATGGCAGGATTCATCCTCCTCTCTGGGACTTCTATATAGGGAGATCTCAGCACGTACACATTACTCCGCAAAAAAATAATACTGTTAGTCAATAAAAAAATGGAAACCGACGAAATGAAGTCTTTTGTGCAAGAAAGTCAACAGAAATTTAGTTTACCCGTGCCAGCTGCTCGTCCGCCTTCACCAGTACGTCACGACATTCAACGAGGAATTGACCCTCGGGTTCCTCCTCGTCTTCCAGACTATCGATTGGAGGCGTCTTCCACCCTAGGTTGGTTGTTCTTCAATATTAATACGGTGCAGAAGCAGCTGCGTCCGACACCTCAGAAGTGAAGACGGTTTTGGAGATGCCTCCGGAGAGTTGGATTAATTGTTTTCAGGAACTCGTTAGTCTAGCAGTAATATAAAAAAAANNAAAAAAAATCCATTATTATTCAACTTCAAGGAATAGTGTATCCGAGACTCCCCACAAAGTTTGCAGTTCATGAGCTGCATAATTTTGATACAAATAAGATGACGGGTGAACTGGTGACATGCGTCATTGGCAACAACCAAAGGGTCGTTGCAGATTCTGCAGGCGTTAACGGATGTTCACTCCCAACTCTGGGTAACAACTCCGTGTTTTTAGAAACCCAATCTTAAAAAATCGATCCACACAGCCACATTCAAGTTTCAAGTCATAAATGAACATATGTTGGAAGCTGAACTAAGATCACTCAAATAAGTGAGTAGAATTAAACCTTCGACAGAACAGATGATCGGCTTCAAAGAGAAATTTATTGGAAAGACAGAGAATTGAAATTTTGAGCGCAAAAAGAGCCAAAGGTTATTTACAGCCTTCGCTTTCGGGAATATTTCCGAAAAGGAAAAGCAGAGCGAATCTAAAAGTAGAGTTGGAATGGCTGACCACCATCATGTATAAGTAATGGCAGTAAAGTATGGCATAGTATCCAGTCTCAAGCTGGACGAGAGTGAGACCAGAAAATGAAGAAGAGTAGGGCGTCTGGACGAGCTACACAATGTGGGTCATTACATGTAGGTCCTGGTGCAAATACTGACTACGTTAAGCAAAAATTCATTCACTTATAAGCATAACTTATAAACTTATAAACAAAAAACCTTGGTAACAGCGAAAACAGCTCATCGTTTTCAGCCTCCTAGGGTAGGAAATTAAATAAGGCATCGCGGCAGCAAAAAGAATATCACAGAAAAAATAGAAAAACATCGCCTCATCACTCGTCGATCAGCTGACTTGTGTGGGTCCTAGAACGAATAATTGCAATCTGTATCGCCTCGACACTCGTCTGAGGTGACGTCGATCGAGGGGCGAGAAAGCCCCGCGGGCCAGAAACAGGGAATCATCTTGAACTGTGCCTTCAATGAAGGCGATCTGTGCTCACCGTACCGACGCATGCTTTCCATATGGGACGTCTGATTGGTTCGCCACTGTGTCACTCGTCATGAAGTACTGTGGCTAATTTAATCCCAACATTGACAGAGTTAGCATTTGCGGTTGTTCTTGCAATTTCATAGAGTGGAGATCGTCAATGGCTACACTACCGATCTCTGATTGGTGTAGCCCCGTTTAATGTGATATACGGCACTGTTCAATTCCTGTTAAGTGTCATCCTTTACACTTGTACCCAGATGTTATCACGCCGGTTTCCCGTTACTGCTTTTAATTTTCACTTGTTTTCAGGAAACCGTCCTGCAATGCGTGAATATTTTCAAGATCCGAAAACTACTTCTAGAGACAACCGCCCTGCAGTTCGTGAATATTTTCAAGATCCGAAAATTGCTCCTAGAGATAACCGCCCTGCAGTCCGTGAATATTTTCAAGATCTGAAAACTGCTTCTAGAGACAGGGCAATTGAATATGCTAGAGAAGTTAGTTTTTAATTTCAATTGTCCTGACCAAGGTTTTAATGCGCAGTAGTTAATAGATGTTTTAGGTTGCTCGGAGATCACACATCCCACTTGATCCGAAGCAGTTCATTGAAGAACTCAGCGATAGTGAAGACTGGGATGAGGTAGTAGAAAAGTTATCTGTTCCGCAGAGATCGGAAAAATGTCGGGTTTTACAGGTAGCTGAGCTGGTTAATCAGCCCCCGACCCTCAAAAGACCAGCTGCAGTGGAAATTGAGAGGCCTGGTAAGTTTAATACTCATCTTCAATGTATTTACATCAAATCTGTTATTTCGTGAAATTCAGTGAAGCGCGGCTTACTTGGTACTGCACCTCCACGTGTGAGCAGGTTGCCTCAGAATGGATCTCCGATAGGGAGTGGCGGATCTCGTCCACCTGGGTTCATCCCGCCGCCGACGGTAGCCGCGAAGACGCTGTCATCTGCTCATCCTCGTCCTTCATTGGAAGAGGTTCCCTCAGTAACGCTTAAACATCTACGCGTTTGCTTTGGAATATAGCTTAATTCGTTTCGTTGAAAGATGATAGAAGAGACGACTCATTCAATTTCTTTCTCTTTCTAGAAATCCTTTTTCCGCATGGAGTATCCGAGTGTTACGCCAGGAATCTATCATAGTCGAGCTGCGTGAGTTGTCTTGAGTTTTCTGATGTCGTCTTTGAAAGATTGCTCGAATTCTTCAGGGAGGAGAAAGAAGAATCGGATGAACCAGCTGGACCTCCACAGGCAAAAATCGCACCGCCTAAGCCAGTATTTCATGGTAGGATTTTTCCGTTTGTTCAAAGGCGAATATTCATATTAACTCTTTTTAAGTCCCACGTAGCCTTACGATATAATATTTTGGCGTTTGCCTTATTTTGTGGATGAAGAGTGTCCAGCTCATTTGGTCCAAGTATTATAAGTTTGTTTGATTGTGGCCATGGGATTTTCCTAAATGAACGCTTAGCTGGCACTCGATTTCCCTCTCGATAACTCATTTACTTGATCGAAATACTTAAGGTCTCGTAAGCAGAAGACGTTTTAATTCTTATGGAATGCTGTTGCTCAGTTGCTCTCCCTTAGAATAAACCATCATTTTAAAGATGACTGACTTAGGCGGTTTGCAAGGTGGACGCGGGTGGCTAGCAAACCATCCATTTTGTCGTTGGTTCTGAACATGAGCAAAGCGCAGTCGAAATGCCAGACTTATGTTTACTGTATACTTCCTCCGAATTTGGCTTAAACTTTTTCGACCTTTTTTCAATATATATGTTTAGTGATCATTTATGTTCAGAGCACGGCAATCCCAATAGTTGGCGCCGTGAGCACGCTCATCCTGTACCGTTGGACCCCATGACGAAGGTAATTATCCTTGCTCCTGTATTTCTTTTTTTGAGTCCGTATCGCTCCAAAACCGCAATATTCAGTATGGTGGAGTAGAGTCGAAACATGGCGGATACTTCGATTAGAGTCGATTTGCTGTTATGATGCGTCCGCCAGAGGCTTTCCTTCAGAAGAAAGTTGTTACAAATTCTCGTAATGTCATGAATGTTCCGGGTTAATTAATCTCAGCTACATTGGATTTTGTAACAGATACCGTGCTTGTTCATTGTTTGTTCATTTTCTTATGGTTCCTATATTTGAAGTTTACAACCTCCAATAGAAGCATCTATTTTTTTGTTCGATAAAATTTCGCTAATATATGTATGTCTGGCGCATTTTTGAACATTATTGCTAAGCATGTGTGAACTGAATAAATAAAGTTCTCTTGATCCTACTGCTTCTTGTTTCAATAGCAGAATGTATGAGCATGCTCTACTTCGATTCGTCTTTATTTGACCTTTCTTGGAGTTGCTGCAGTCGTTTTATGATGTACTTATTCTTTCCAGAGATGACGCGCAGTGAAGATGAATTAGGAGAGAAGATCGATAGGTGAGGCATATAGGAAGCGATCACGAATTAGTTGGCTTACACAGTAAAATAGTCGACTGTATGCAGTAGGGCTAGGTAGTGAGAAATCTTGTGNTTATCATTGTCAGCGGCTGTAAATGTTTACAACAAATGTCGGCATTTTAACATAACTGGCGCAAATAGTTCTCAAAAGTTTGAGGTGGGGAGTTGACTCCTTAATCTTGTTCCTGAGCGCTCAGTTCTTGTTATTCCCTTCTGTACCCTCGACCTTTGTGGGTGGTGCTATTTTAGCTCTCTGCCAAAGTCTGCACACACATCATCAGGTGGGTTGACAGATGGTTAAGCCTGAAAAAAAAACTCACCAAGTTAAAAGCAACTACGTGCTGTATCAGTAAGTTTGGCAATTTCGGGTCCGGTTCGCCTTACGTCATTGGCCGATGCCCTATGCAGACACTGCAAAACAGATCAGAATTTCTAGTATCCTCTTGATTTTCATTCGTTGCAAGTGTGAATGTGCGAAAACTTCATGGGGTTCTGCGTTTTGTTAGGAAAGACCGTCTTTTCCTTAAATAAGGCTGCCCATAAAGCCTGATTCATTATGTTGGGTGAATCTGGATTAATACCTTCATTGTGGGAAAAGTAAGGCTGGAAATAGGTACAGGAGCAGTTCGAATTGAAAGACATTAGAATTTACCACTGTCAGTTACTAATTAGCTTTTGAAAGACCCCTCCTCTATTTTGTTATGTGTTAATGAGGCTTGACCTGTGAGGTCGACCCTAGGTAGAGCCAACTGCGCCATACCCCATAACCCAATACTTTTCAGTTGAAGTTTTCCTTTTTCTCATTCCCTGTGCATGGAATGAATCAAAACGGTGGCAAGCGAACTTATGCATTTCAACCTGAGTTTTAAGAAGCTCGTGGCTGATTGGGAGTATTGTTGTATCATTTAAAATTTTTTTCAAATAGCTTGATAAAATAAGGAGATTTTAAATGGATCAATCGTAGTAGTTGCTGATTTCAGATGTTTTGCGGACTCATTGTTAAAAATAAGTGGTGGAATAGCGATTGGAATCGTGGCTAGTGTGGCATTTTTCAAGGTGATGATTATCTACTCTTTTTCATCAGTAAGAAGTCGCTGCTGTACGGTCTTAGCATTCAGTGCTGATCTCTTAGATCCAGGCACTAAATAGAAAAATCACCTCAAACCAGAAATCCGGCACTCCTTTGATTTTCCTCAGCGGTTAGGCGCAAAGAAGGCCGTCAATTTTGTTTTGTTGTTTTCCCATTAGAGCGGCCATGTTTAAAAGTGATGCTTCAAATTTTTGGTTGTGTAGCACTGTTGGTAGGTCGCTATTGATGGCAGTAATTGCTATGTCAGCTCGATTTCTCCCTCTGAACTTTCAGTTTCTACTTCGGCGAGCATTTTGCTATACTTATTTATAGTGAGTTCTTGTTTTTGCTTTGTAGATCATCACTCTTCTAGAAGTAGCGTGTTCAGAGCGATGACTCGATTTTTTCTCGAATAGAAGTTCACAAAACGTTTATTTCTTCACTATTCCCTATTTTACTCGGTTGTTTCTTCAGAAGGGTCACTCGGTCTTTCCAGTATTTGTCGTAAAATGATGCCCTAGCTCCCGCCTACTGTCCCCGGTTTTTTCATATTCATAGCTAAAATGAATGATCCTATTTACCCGTCGTTCTCCTTTTATGATCGTAAACTTTGTAAAATATTCAGAGTCGATCGTGGCCTATATGGTTTGGATCAGGAATTGGCGTCGGCACTGGTTGGTCAAATTGTCGTCATGATTTAGCACAACCCTTTCTATTACATGGAAAGAAGGTGCCTGTAGGAACAGACACAGAGGTAACAAAGGTACAACTTCTTAGGAACAAAATTGTGTTGAGACCGTTTAGAGACTATCTACAGGGAAAACCTACCTATGCGATTATCTTGGGAAAGGATCGACTCGAAAGCCAAGAAAGTTAGTGTGATAATGTAGATAGATGTCAAAGCCGACTGTTTACGAGACGGTTATATACTGCTGTGTCGATGTAGGTATCAAGTCATTCTTATACTAGTTTTAGCTTACTGTTGCGATTACCTATAGACTAATAAAAATCTTTGGACATGTCATGCTTTTAGGAAAAAANAAAAAATGAATTGTCAAAGTTTTTCTGAACGTTATGCCTTTGTGGCTTGGACAAACACGGGGTTACAAATCGGTGGTGCGAACTCGTCGGGGAAATTTTAAAGAACTTTTAGGTTCGATGCTGTTACCATTCATTAGCTGTTCATTTGATTCGATTTCTTCTAGCCATTATCAATATTTCTCGATTCTATTTGATCCAAACAATGCGGTTCAAAGGATCATTCTTGTTCGAGGGCCGCTGGGCAGCTCATACTCTTCGCTTCCTAGGTCTAGAGGGGTACAAGATGGTAGTGGCGATCACCTTGACGTCCTAAAAAACCTCTCGGTAACCACGGTCATCCAGTGCTCAGCACTTAATCGATTGACATTTCCTGTTTGCCTCATATTCGATGTTTGTTGTGGATGTGACATAGCAGCTTCTGCTTTGGCGTTTGTAGAGAGCTCTGTTGGAGAGCGTAGAAAGAATTGAAGGTCCAGCAAGCAATAATTTTTATTCATTGCTTTGACAAAAAAAGAATCCAGCAAAATATGAAAAGGAGACTGTTTTACTGAGTTTATCAGTACTTTTAGAAAGAGTAACACATTAAAGCTCTGAACAGTTGGTGAATAATTCGGTAATACCGGTGTGAGGAAGTCCGCAGTTACGGATGAAAAGGGAAAAAACAGACTTCTAAATCTATAAAAGTCAATGGAACAACAAGTAGTGAAGAATCTACGCATCTACACAAAGACTGGGCTATAGAGGTGTTGGGAACATGCCTTGATGGCCATTTATACAGGTAGATTCGGGAATGAGCATTAAATCTTCTTATGTTCTACGGCGTAGTCTCCGATTGCGATTAGAGCAGCGAGCATTTCTTCACCTGAACTTTTGATTGAATATGGAGTTGAGCAAGTTAGTTGATAGGTGGAAAACGAAAAACCGAGTGGAAACAGACCGGTGGGTCGAATATAGCTGGGTGGTAAACTGAAGGCGTAGCTATTATGCGAGTCAAGTGGCCGAAGTTCGATGCCGAATATGTATGGTACTCCACGATCTTGCATATAGTCAATACTTGTACCGGATGCCGGATCTGTAACAGTAATCTTCGAAATCAACCAAACCACCGATCGGTAGACTAACACATGAGTTCGGCGATCGTTCCATAGTTGTACATGGCACCGGTAGTGTTCTGTATAGCTGAGACGGCAATTCGTGCTGCATTACGCTGGAATCAATTGACACTAAATGAATGAAAAAGCCAAGGTATACAGTGGGCCGGTAGTTGTCCGAGTCCTTCAATCACCCTTTTCCACTATTTTACTTCTTTCACTCCGCTCAACCGTATTGCCCCGTACCCAAGCGAAAGCGGTTACAACACAGTCCAATCGACAAACTATCATAAACAGTGCGCCTCGTTCCATTGCCGCATTGCGACCGCTCGCGTCAACGCCCCTCTGTTTTCAAGAAGGCTTTTAGAGTAATGAAATTACCTGGTCAATGTAGTTATCAGGCCGCGTTTGTGTGTAGCCCCAAGGTGACAGTAGGAGTTGTCCATAAGAATGGAGACTGGCGTAGATCACAAGGTTAGGAATTTGCCAAGTAACAAGATCTCTGAGGCCTGAAATCAGAGAATTAGAGGGAATTGCTACTGTGTGTCTGATGTTGCAGCATAATTTGGGAAAAGCTGGTTCACTTCGCCTAGGGTAAGGAAGGAGTAACGAGACAATTACGATACCGCCAGTATTTATGAATTTTCCAAGAGCAACCTTGACCTCGCATGTTGGAATGGACTACTCATTTAGGGGTTCAAAGGGAGACGACATAAGACACTGATATAACTGGGCCATGCTTCATGCCCATTGCCTTGTTCCCGATAAAGTATGAACGATGCCTTCGGAGGTTTCAGCGGACAACAAATGGCTCAAAAGAGTTACGCTAATATTATGAGCTACTGAGATTTTACCTCTAATCTATCGGGTAGGGCTTAGAAGGCGCTATCGCGGTCATACATGCGTAACTAGGTAGTCCGGTACAGCATGTGCGCTACCAAAATGGCAGTACATATGGTACACTCCGACCCGATTTCGTGATGCTGAGCTTGGCCATACCTCTTGACCCATGCCGTGAACCATAACGTTTGCTTACCAACGATTTCCGGTTCAGAGAACGGTCGGCTGCCAGCGTAGATGTTCGAGCAAGGCGAGCGATTTGCACCAGCTTCTCCCCATCGATGTCCCCAATTACGATTCGCATCTGCACCAACACACCATTTGTTCACCGTGACGTTGCGTGAACGCGTCTTACGCCAGAGCCGGTCCTGTAGGGATTACTTTGTGAGGTATTTATCAGTATTCTGCTGCTTGTGCTTAGGAACTGTTGGTATTGGAGTGACATGCCCAAAGTTGCGCTCATCTGCATACTCACCGACGTTCGGCTGTACTCGTATCCGTCAGGATTCGCTTCGGGAATAATATACCAGTCGAATTTATTCACACTTCGTGTGATATCCGGATCGATGCCGTAACCAGTAACGAGCTAAACGTTCACAAAAGAGATTTCTTTCAAAGCGATCATTAAGCTAATTATTTGTAAACTTAATGAACATTGAAGTGGGCTGTTCTAAAGGTGTACACCGTTGGCCCTACTTTTTCAGTGGTAGCAAAAAAAGATATAAAAAATAGTCATCACGTCCACGAAACAACCCAATATTCCGGATGTTTCATCGATTTTTGCTAAAGAATGCTTGGGCTCTCTCCTAGTCATAAGCTTCAAAGGGAAAGGCTTGGTGTATGGAACGCCCTAAACTCACCCTCTTGATCATGTACAACGCTACAGCTGGTGCGATCCATTCCCGTGCATGGATTCCGGCATCCACGAATATAGCAGGCTTGAATTCGTCGGAGGATGAAATCTAAGTTGAGCACATCTAAGGTGACAGGATGGGTGGAACGTCATTCTATCACAACCTTTACCTTGACACCGTACATTGTACGCCCTTCAAAGGTTTTTGAGATATTCAACAGAGTGACGAGTTCTGGTTTTTGAAGAGATATCATCTGCATGAAGCTCACCATCTGCAAGAAAAAAGTTTTGAAAAGTACGGAATCGGTGAAGTAGCATGGTTTTAAATACATCCTAGAACAGGTCAAGGATTTATAAAAATATTTACATTCGTAAGAGACTATACACTTTTGGAAGCTGACTTCAGGAAGACCTAATTCGATTTTCCACTGTCGAGCTTCGAAGTATACGTGAATTTATAAGGTACTGAAAGTTTTCTACACATGCTGCCATATTAGCAAGCTTGTGCGGAGTAGCTTTAGCCACTTGCGCTCACGTTGCTGATTCGGTAATCTATGGATATGTGACAAGTATTAGGAGGGATCTTCTATGGAACTGAGTAGCAGTGGTCAAAAGCTTCAAATCCAGGGTATACCCACCTCCCTGTACGAGTGATAGTTTTCTACATCGAAGTCCAAGTAGTCTGAGCTTCTTTTTGCTCGTCTACTACTCCTTTCCAGATCGCGGCGTTCACGACGAATATCTCTGAAACATTATCACCATTGAGAAAAAGGAAGTCCTGATTTGTCAACAGGACAGAACGAATCTTGCGATTGGCTAGTTGCCTCGCCGCGCGACACTCTTCACCCAAAAGCTCCATCCGAGTGAAGAAAAGTTTGAAAGGTACCCTCATAGTGCCTTTCGGGGTGCCAATAAACTGATACCCTATATCGGGGCGACTATATGTGCAAACTCTCCCCCAATCCCACTTTCCCGGCGCGTTTACTCAAACTAACCAGCTGGCTTCCAACCGTAGTTTGAAGAATTCTGTAGGAGTACTTAGTGGAAGATGACAGTGGTGTTGGCAAATCGGATCAGAATTTCATGAATTTCGAAAATGTCGTTTTTCAACTGATTTAAATGAACACAACAGCCCCTTCCCCTCCCTCCCTCACCCCCTCTTCTTCTCTATTGCCGAACTGATAACATGCTCTCATTATCCCACACTAATTCAAAGTGTAGCGCGGATTTTGAGTTGGGCGGTACCGAAAATTTCTATTCAGCATTACTATAAAGGTGAGAATGATAGCTAACCTGCCGATGTCTTTCTTCAGAGTCTCCACTTCCGTCACACCTCGTCGCTCAAGCATTTTCAGAAATGTCTCCATAAACTCTGGAGCGACGAGCACATCAGCGACCGGATTCTGACGTGATGGCATGCCCCAAACGTCAACTAGCACTCGCCTGTCTCCAGTTTCCTGAATTGAACTATCAGAAACCGCATGCTGAACTATCAAATACTGCATGCCTTTTCGAGTTGTTTGCGACTTTTGAGCTTTTTCAAGTTTATTTTACCCCAAGCGAAATTACCGAGAACGCTAGATTTTTTGCTTATCAGATATGCGTTGAGAAGGCTAATATATACTGCCTGCACCCAAATGACCAGTTGCCTTTGTGGCGCTCCGTTGCGTTTGGCAGAGCCGATGACAATTTGATAGTCAAAACAGTGGATCCTCAACGACATCGCTCAGGTTACATATACTAGAATTCGCCATGTCGTCTGCCACATTACCATCGCTACACCGAAAATCTTTGTTGGAAGTTACCCCATAACTAAAAACCTTACTCGAAACACAATACAACACCCTTTCCGCAGTTGTTTTCCAGGCAAAAAAAATCTGTAGATGACATGAACTTACTCCATCTATGTAGTACCCAATGTCTTCTAAATGGACCAGCCATTTGGCAAGTTCCTCATCTGTGGCAAAACGAATCAGCGAATACCTGAAGAAAGCTTTATGCCAATGATAATAAAAGACATTAGTGAAGGAGAAATCCGATTACGAGTTTTCGGACATTCGGCAAGGTTTTGCCAGCCTAAGGCGTTTTCAGAATCAGGGATATAACCTATTAATAGTTCATAGGCGAAGTGTTTTTGACCTAACATGCAATCACTGGGCGCACTCATAGTTCCTACGCTCAGATTCAGATACTATGAATGCACTCATTGACAACTTCTGCCATCTTATGATCAGATTTCCAATCCATTTTCGATGGAAACTGTGTTTTCTGAAGCAATCAAAGGGTTGTCGGTTTGTTCGACTGCTTGTCTCCTTCACCTTTTAACTACGGTCCAAGAACACGGGTTAGGCTATTTTAGGTAATGACAGCTCTTACTTAAGCTCCAAATAGTAAAGCAGTCTGACTGAAGTTCATGAAGGTTATGACTCATATCAAGGCCTTCATATGGCCTGTCATTATGACTCAATGCCGGAAGTTCACCTCGGATTAGCAGCCCATTCAGGAGGGTAATGGGTAAGAGCAAGGATTATGAGGGAATGATCTTCTTTCTATGAAGGCAGAAGAAGAGCAGGTGAAAGAACGATCGCTTAGGGGGGCTAGGCAAGACTAGACAGACTCCTTTTTAGCTCTTTCTTGACTCACTCAGATTATGTTCGAGAGGAATGGAAAAAAGGTCAGTTTAGAGCTGGGCCAAACTTTTGTAGGGTAGAAACTGTAAAGTACTTTTGCAGAAAAGTAAGTAGCTCTTGTAGGTTTCGATGACATGATCTGGTTCCGAAGGCGGTGAAATTAACAGCTCGATTCCTGCCTTCGAAATAAGAACATGAACAGAATCCTACCAGTTCTAGTGTGAAAAATCAGAAGACAGTAGCATTCTGTTTATGTTAAACTCACATATTCAGATTAAAAATTCATGAATTGATTGATCTGAATTTGTTCAATTTTCTCAGTTCATTCACGCCCCCTACATCATATAGACGTTCTCCAATCGTCATTCTGAAAGGCAGGGGGTGATTCATAATCACCCAGTACAGACGGAAGGATCATTCATGGCATTCTGACAGCACATTACTAAGCCCTCGGCGATTGTCCGTCTAAACACTGGCGCATGCGTCCAGATTGTGTTTATAAATGACTTTTGATCGTTCTGGCGTGTTCCAACTCTAGCCTACTGTTACCTGAGCTATGAAGTTTTGGCTAAAATCAAGTCATATACATAGAAGTTTTACCTGCTATAATCCACTGCTGAATATGTTGATTGCAGTAGAATGGACAGGAGTATCCATTGGATCATTGGCCTGGAATTCACTGTACTTTTCCATCAGAGAGCAAAAATCAAAAGTCCACAGGAGAGGAAATTAAGATTCCAGTATAATTGCCGCTAACAACTGGTAAAAACCAAAATTTGACCGGCACAAGAAAGTGAAAGAGACTCCGAGCAATTGAAATGGAAATCACCTCTCCTTATTGAACACAATGCCTACAAGAATTCAAAGAAAACGATTTTTCCGCAGTCGAACAAAGAAAAAAAAGGAGTGCATCAGAAAAACAGTTGAAGCCATGATGAAGAGTTGCCTCTCTGCAAGGTAGGGAATCAAAGTGTAGCGTTTAAGAGGAGCCGAAAGACTAAAGGGGTGGAGCCTACTACATCAATTGCTCGAGTGTTTTCGAGAGTTAGTCAATCTACTACACTTGCTCTCAGACTGGTTTCACTTTGTCACATTTCATTTCGATTAATGAAGAGGCTTTTTAGAAGATATGGGAGTTAAATGGCAACATCAACAAGATGAGCGAGAATAATTGACCTAGGTAAGAAGAGGAATCGAATTAGGGAATCAGAAGGAAATTGAAGAAGAATCAGGAACGGGCACTTCTCCTGAATATGTCATGCTTCTGATGCATTCTCGATTGGATGACTTACGGAAGGGCTATTGCATCTGCAAAGGATCAGATGGTGTAGAGGCAAGAGGCGCACCACCGCTCACGCATGGTCCAGGATCAAATCCCAAATCCTCTCGACCACGTCAAAGGAGGATTCCAACTCTTCGGGGTCGGGTAATTGCTAACAGGCTAGGATAAAACATGAAGTCGTCCATCATGTGGCCACCGCAACTCATTGTATTAGCCACATACTCGTCAAACCACCACTACGATTTTGGATGCAACTCAAAGCGGAGGTGCATCCAGGAATTGGAATTGATTATCCCAATACTGATCTCATGGCATTCGAAAGTGTATTTTGGAATAACAGAGGAACCATTCATTCTTTGATTTAGTGATTTTTCTATTCGAAGGGTGGTTTTTGGCATTCAAAGTTATTTTGCTGCTGATTAGAAATCTAAAATAGAGATTGTGAAATTTTTTCATCGTGGGTAGCTAAAACTCAGAGCTCACATGCTGTCAAATGGCGTCACCACTAGGAACATGACCGGTCAGAGCAAGGGCCGAAATCTGTTCGGGCTCACTAAATGGTTAATCTTTCTAGGGTAGCACTAAATGGTGCAGAACTTGTATGTGTGGGTAGAAGAAGGAACTCTTACATTATCTGGGTGACCGATGATAATTCCTAGACAACACATGGAGTGGAAATTTGGTGCGTGGGCGCATCCCGACAAGAATTAATCAGGCCTCGTAGCCTCATTATTACTTCATTATTAACAGTTCCAAAGGGCCACTTTACTTTCAGGTCAGCTTCTTCGTCCTATCAAATAATTTTGGTATTTGATAATAGAATGAAAGGTTAAAAGACACCATTTGCTGGGTGAAGACTACTGAACAAGTGGGGTTCCTCCTGCGTGAATGTTCAGGAGTTGTTGCCATACCGTGAAAACTTCAGTGTTTCTTCTAGGAAACATTTATAGTTTGCTCCACACATCTTCAGTGTGCACAAGCTTAGAGCAGGAATAACAAATGACGTCCTCCAGTATGTACTGGCAAGGTAAGAGGTAAAAGCGACGAAGGATGGGACGGACGGGGGGCAGGAAGGCAGATGGAATGAAAGGGATCATAACTCTGCTCTACTATCGACCACTTCTTTCTACTCAATCCTTACTATATATAAAGCGCTCGCGTCTGTCTGTCCGTCTGTCTGTTTGTACGGAAATTCGGTATCACCTGATAAAGTTCCTGCAAAGTTTTAGGTCTATGGGCGGTCGTGGACATAGAATGCATGCATATGCAAATATGCATTGCCCAACTGGTATATTATAAATGAAAAGTCCAAGTGCTATTAGATTACAACGGACCCTCCAGTTGATTACTATGGGTGCAGGGAATGTTTTACATAGACTACATCAGGGGGCGGGGATGAAAGAACAAGAATCCACTTCTTTCAACTCAATACGAATGAAAGGTCAATTACTATTCGATTACAACGGGTTCTCTAGTTATTAATACGGGTCCAGTGAATACGTTACATAGACTTCACCAAAGGGTGGTTAAGAAAGGATTCACTAAAATGTGGGGGTGAAAGAACAAGAATTTCTACATTAAGCAATCTTAGAGCCGAACGTTTTAAGAAAGTTCAACGTTTGAACTAATTCAATGAGTTTGATTCAACCAAAGTCTTGTTTCTTGAACCACTCCACTAGACCCATCATTCCGTCGGGATGAGTCTGTTAGGGACAGTTCCAGAACTTGGTTTCGAATGTTGTGAAAGCGAATAATAGAGGCCGTTGCCATCTAGCAGGTGTTCTTTGCTCTCCAAAGTTTTGAAACCAATGAGGTATAGGTCCAATCTGAGCGCTATCACGCTCCACCAGGTTTTCTTGGAATCCAGCATTCAACCGGAACAGGTCGAAAAAATTAGATGCTTGGTTGAGCAAACTGCAAGCCAAAAGCTTCCGGCCATGTCTACATCTCGAAAGCCCTTCTTAAAACGCGCTTGCTTCAAGGGTATCGGCAGAAAAAATGGCGTTCCTCTTTTCTGAGTGCTTTACTCCAACATTTAATGTTGCATGATTCTGAGAGGGATAACGTTAGTGGGTTTATTTGCTGTTAAGTGAATGCGCTTTGGGATTGATCCTTGCATTAACCCATGCAACGGTTTTTAGAAATTGTAAGGCTTAATGACCAAGGCCGGCTCAAATGTGGGACTGGGCATCCGGGTCACTTGAGTGCTAGCTCCGCCGTATATCATTGCTCTATCTGTGCTGAATTNTCTTTTCTGAGTGCTTTACTCCAACATTTAATGTTGCATGATTCTGAGAGGGATAACGTTGGTGGGTTTATTTGCTGTTAAGTGAATGCGGCTCAAATGTGGGACTGGGCATCCGGGTCACTTGAGTGCTAGCTCCGCCGTATATCATTGCTCTATCTGTGCTGAATTCCAAAATTTAGATGACTACATTTGAAGTGGTGTAGAGGAACAATCTATGGCACCCAGGGAAAGATCTAGAAAGATTTCTCTCGACAGCTAATAGAGAACTTGTCCCACCTTTTTCGGGCATATTACCTCTTGGATTAAGGGATTGGTATTTCGGGGAACATTACTGAAAGCAAAGCAGAGTGGAGCGAAACCGAGTAGAGAAAGGGTTCATGTATTGAAGAAGTCTTCATCCATTTCACGTGAGGCACTGTACCAGCCGGAGAGCAACTAAGTGCTCCGGCGGTTGTGAAGAAAGTCGGAAACGTGGCGCACCCATAATGAAATGACCAGTTCAAAATTTACCGTATTATCTGTTCAAAATGTTCGCAAAATTTCTCAGATTTATTTTATTTCTAATTATAACATGACTCACAGAAACCGATCTCGATTGCGAAGGCATCTATGTATGTACAAGAACAGTGAGAGTGAAAAGAAGTCGGAGCTTTCATTCTAAACGTGGACAGGATTTCATAAGGTTATAGTCATGGGTTGTGGGAACATTTCTTGCTATTCACTTATTTAATTAGTGGTCTGCTCAATCATTTAGTTACTGATTTCTTCCCTTATTTATTTATTTACCCCCACTGAAAAGGTTTCCATCATGCTACAGAGGAGAAGAAATAACTCTTTCGTCTTACTCGG